TTCCTAGCCTAACATAATGACTAGACAACATAAGCACTTTCTATTTTAAGCAAATAAACTACAATAAATTTGCAACAGTTTAGTGAAACTCCGAACTTTACAGATGATTTCGTTTCGGAGAAATATTAATCATAAATAAGTTAATATGAGGGGTATATGATCAATAATATTGCCCACTGTAAGTCCATGATCTTTTTCAGCTTTCGAGTAACTTGGGTTTTCCTATTGTTTTCTTTATGTTGTTGATAAATTTGTTTTGAAAAGAAATATGATGGAGAAACAAAATAATCGGTAGTGACAAGCTCAATTTCACTCTTCAATTAGCTCAAAAAAAGCATTACTCAACAGACTTTCCATCCTTTTTCAAAGCTTTTATCCAAAACGCTGGATAGGAGAGCTGTTAGAATACACCAAAACTGTGTAAGATGAAATGTACTGCACGAATATATTATTATAGTGTAACCAGGCTGATCCTGACAGGCTAGACGTATTTAGGCATCCAACCTGCATATGTTTTTCTTCTACTTTTCACCTTTTCGTCCGTTTCAATCTTGAATGGTTTTCATGCTTTTGGTGGCTTTCACAGTTTTCATCGGTTTCATATTTTTCATCCTTTTCTAGTTTTCATCCGTTTTCTACTTTTCATCACTTTTATACTTCTCGTGCCTTTCATGCTTTTCAGCGTTTCATCCCTTTCATACTTTTCATCCCTTTCACAGTACTGGTGGCTTTCATACTTTTCACGCCTTTCATGCTTTCCAAATGAAGAAAAATAATTCATGATAGGCTTAATTTTATTACAAACACTAGAGGTCTTTACTGCCGAAAATATTGAAAATTGTATTTTGAGGAAGAGTTTAGGATAACTTCAATTCATATCCAGAATTCTGGATAAGCTAAGAATTTGACAAATGACCACTAGGTAAGGATTATATTTTTGACGTTGCTAAAAAATCCATAAACATTTCAGTTATAGTTCTTCAGTTGAAAACGGTGCATACCTACGATCTAGCTTTTGTCAACCACAGCAAAACAGTAATTGAAATCAGTTTAAAGTATGTATCTTTCGAAAATTCGAGTGTCGCACACTGAGAAAAAGAGGCCTATTTTATAATTCTCCACCCGAACGATTTATTATTCTTAGTACGGGACACTCACACTAGGACAGGATACTTGCTCACTGAACTTACTTATCCCACGCAAATATTCAAACAACTTTTTATGCTGTTTTCTGATGAAAAATTATTTTTAGTACGCGGTTCGTGACGGTACTCCACCAACCTCCGCATGCATACGCACAAAAATCAATTTGCAGAAATGAAAAGCTATGGTTTTTATTAACAAATTACGCTTTTTCATTATTTACTACTATGACTCATGAGAAAACTGACACACCTTTGAAGCATATCGAAATAATCAACAAACCTGTTTTATCACAGCCGATGCAACTTGCGAAATAAGGCAGAAAATTTGGCATATTTTCTTTCATTTAAAAGCACAGAGAAATAATACACACATTCACCACTTTCTTTAAATTTGTCTCCACGCTTTGGTAAATACTCTGAAGTACTTTGTGAGCGGGATACATCCTTAAGTAAAGGCATCCTTTTCTAGTTTTCATATGAAAAATATGAAACCGATGAAAACTGTGAAAGCCACCAAAAGCATGAAAACCATTCAAGATTGAAACGGACGAAAAGCTGAAAAGTATGAAAGGCATGAAAAGTAGGAGAAAAACATATGCAGGTTGGATGCCTAAATACGTCTAGCCTGTCAGGATCAGCCCGGTTACACTATAATAATATATTCGTGCAGTACATTTCATCTTACACAGTTTTGGTGTATTCTAACAGCTCTCCTGGATAGAGTTGGTAATTACGTTTCATATTAGACAATACTTTATTTTGCTGTTGCACGATATATGTCTGGTATTGCGAAAGGAACTACAGGTAGTGTACATCGTGCATGACTAATTATTTATTTTATTCTATTCATGAGTTTTAGCATCGAACATTTAGAGTTTAATGAGCTCTAAAATTTTAGCTTGCATAAATAAACAAGCTAATTCAGTTGATATGGTTAGTCCATTAACGTTTTGTTAATTTGTAGTCTATTCTTTTAGTTTTAGATTTGTTCTTTCTCATTGAGCTATTTTATCTTCTTTTGTAACAAACTTTCGTGAAATAGTTAGTTATTTTTTTTAATAAGATATATTCTACTCATTTTCTAGTTTGAATTCATATCTATTTTCATATATGAATATTAAACTCGTTTTTATCTTGAAGATCTTACTCACTAGAAGAGTAACATGCATAACGGAGAATGAAATTGAAAATTTACAATAATTACAGTCGTTAGAACAGATCAGCTCAAGATATTCTACTGATGATATTTGTTGCGACATGCAACATTGTTGCATGTGGATTAATATATTAATCTGAACATTAGACTTTCAAAATAGAAATAAATATATACAAGACAATTTTGGTGGTATGAGGTGCTCTATTGACAAATGCGCACAAGTTGGCAAGCCGACAGAACCGTCTCCATCTGAGTCTGCCAGAACCGGTCCATAACCAGGAGGTTTCCACTACGTCACTTTCGCTGTTATTCTCTGTTTCAGTTGCACAAAAGAGATTCCTGCTGGAAGAAGGAATGAACAAAAACAGACAATATAGTTTTGAATATATTTTAAGATTTAGATCATTTTAAACAGATTGTTTTCAGAGAAATCTCATAGAGAGAGAAATCGACTGGAAAATAAGTATCATTCAACACTTAACAAAATTGAAACCATTTACAGTGCACTAACGTGAAACTACGCTTCGTCCTCTATAATTACATAGTAATCCATTTTATATATCACTACATTGCGATTATTCCGCTAAGATATAAGTGCACGTAGAGGTTAGGAACAACAATGACGCGTTTAATATCAGTCACATAGACTTGAACGATCGAAAGAAAAGAGAGAGAATTATATTTCCTCTGAAGAACAAATGGCGCCAGACAACAAGCTGTTAACGAATATATGAAAAATTTCTAAGTCCAAAGTCAATTTTCTTCCACTGTTCGAACCCTGTAGCGCCGGATCGAAAGCGAATTTTGGAAAAAGAACGCCCAGTAGTCAATCATCGGTAATTATAGAACGATTTCGTGTTTTCAGAACTTTTCTACGTTGTGTAGTTGTTGAGATCACGCGGTGCACATTTTGCGAAAAAGATGAATAACAAAAATCGCTGCAAAAACTCGTAATGTCTGTCGACATAATTAAACGAACATTTTTGGTTGATATCAATTCAACAATTGACCGTCGGGTGATTTTTTCTGTCTTTTGTGTGAATTTCGTCGTGCGAAAAACGGTAACATACAGCGAAATAAAATTTATGAGAGTTTATATAATATTCCGGGGTCTGGAGCCTGTTTCTCAAAAAAACTTAAGTTTTGCTTAAGTGAGTTTCTCAAAAACACTTAAGTATAATTTCCTATTTACTTGAGTGAAATTATTTACTTAAGTAAAACTTAAGTTTTTTCGAGAAACAGGCCACACTTAAATTGTTTTGAGAAACAGGCCCCCGCTCGATTTATCAATATTTCTTTCTTTATATACTAAATTTAGTTTCACAGTTGTTCTTATTAAAGATCATTCTAACATCTTTATTTAAATTTTAGATTATAAATATGGCTGTAAAAGGATCTGATGCGAATCCTGATTTCTGTTTTAATGAAATTGAAGGCGATCTGTTTCAATCGCCCGATAATAATGTGTCACTCGCTCATTGTGTCAGTGAAGATATGGAAATGTCAAAAGGTATTGCTACATTATTTAGAGATAAATTTGGTCGTATCAATGAATTAAAACAACAAGGTAATCAAAAAAAATGCGTCTATTTTTATAGTTTGTTTTCTATAAAGACTTATTTTACTTTTTTTAAAGGCGTCGTAACGGGTGGCGTTGCTTATTTGAAAGCTGATGAACGATATATATTTTATCTAGTAACTAAAAAATTTTATTATCATAAACCAACAATGAAAACTTTACAGAGCAGTTTGGAAGCAATGAAAGAGAGATGTCAAGAATTTAATGTTGTAAATTTAGCTATACCAAAAATTGGGTGTGGACTTGATAAACTAAATTGGACAAAAGTATCTGAAATGATAAAAGATATATTTCAAGATCTTCCTATAAAAATAACAGTGTATCACCAAAAGAAATAACAGCAATAAATATATAGATACTGTATGATACCCGCTGATTTACTTTTTTATTGTTATTGTTATTTATATTCTATTACTTTATTATTTGTTTTTTTTAAAGAATTAATTACAAGTTAAGTTTATGAAATAGCTAAAAATTGTGTTAAAATATGTCTCACATCTGACACAAACAATAGTCAGTGGTTCATCTACCATCTGATTTGTACTCCGAAAAATTCTTTGTAACACCTAACTTAGTTTAATGTAAGATAAAACTCACTATTTGAAATATTGTAACAACAATACACAGCAGGAAATTTGAAAAAGTTTCGGATGCGTTTAAACGCGTCAGTTGAAGAATTTATCATTGCCACGCGTTTTTCCCTTAGACAACGTCGAACTTTTTTAACTCCTTGAAAACGTTTGTAGTTTCTACGCATTTTAGCGCGTTTATTTTTACGAGTTTCCAACTTAAAATCGTGATTTTTGACGCGTTGAAACCGTTTTCCATGTTTTTCCAACGCGTCGTAGGCAGTTTTAAATGTTCTTTTCGAAAAATAAACGTGTGGAAATGCGTTGAAAGTACAAACGTTTTCAATGCGTTAAAAAAGTTCGATATTGTCTAGGGAAAAAATGCTTGGTAATGATAAATGTTTCAATTGACGTTTAAACGCGTCCAAAACTTTTGCAAATTTCCTGCTGTATAGATTTGATTTGAACTTATTGAAAGATACGCATTGTATGATGAAGAAAAATCACTCAATTTTTGATTTTCGACATGTTTGTCGATATTTAACATGGTAAGTTCTAATACAGGACATGCTACTTGTTAGTTATAACTATGATTAGAAACATCCAGTCATGTTTACTCCAAAGTGGGCAGATAAAAGAAATTTCTTTTTTATATGGAACCGACGATCAACTGTGTCTGATTCTTTATAAGTCTAAGCAAGATTCACCGGCTAAACTAAGATTTCTGTTTCTTCTTCATTCATCTATAGTTTCTAATAGTTCTTCAGAAAGTTTACAAACTTTATTTAGGTTTAATAAAGCCTTATACACACAAAAATAAATATATGCAACTTACACTAATGAAACACGTTGTGAAACAAACACTAGTTTTTCAGCAGATACAAAATGGATATTTTTCTAGAATATAGTTGTACGATTGAATTACTAACCAAGTACATGAAATTGCGATAAATAGTTGCAATAAATTATCTAAAGTAATTGATTATTTTTAATTATTTTTGTCCAATACAGATTGTAATCGTTTATCAACTCATTATTATCGCTATGAAAATGTGATTCTACACCACATGCTAGTGAATTTCGTTTGCTCAAAAATCGTTTACATCCTTTATCAATTCGATAGTTATAAGTGGCCATTTGTTCTCTCTTAATATTCAAATATTCAGCTAATATTGCCGTGAAATAAACATCAGACAAATGAAATGGTTTTGGATCACGATAATATGTACATAGCAAGAGTGAGCGAATATTTGCCGATATTAAATAGCCGAAACCGCTAAGAAACGTTGAATATCGATAACATTCATACTCATTCGGTGTAACCACGTATCGTTTATAAACAGGATGATTAGTATGACGAACAACAATTGAATTTCTAATTGGATGACCATACATGATAAGTGGTTCGTTGGTAAACAGATCATTTGAGCATTTTAGAACCATTGACTCTTTTGTTGTCCGATTTAACTGAGAAACAAATTTTGTCAATAGTAACGAGTTGATAAAAACATCATCATCAGTTTTGAATACATATCTGGCTTGTGAACAATAACGAGCTGAATAATCAAATATGGCTGCATCTCTATAGGTTACAAGTTCATAATATTCTGGCAAATGTACTTGAACAATATCGTTGAACAACTGATTTTCTAATTTCACTTTTAATAATCTTATTTCGTCAATATCAACAAGAAACAATAGTTTAACGTTAAGTTTAGAATATTTATATAATACATTAGTATTGCCCCATGTTCGACGAATGGTATTTCTTACTTTAAAATTAGCCGATTTTGATATAACAAACAGAAGTAAATCAATCGATATATCATTCTTACAAAAATGAATTGTTGAATTGTTATAGTCAAATAAAGGTTGAATTGGTGGTAAGGAGAATATATCTTCTAAACTAAAAAGTGTTTCTAAAATTATCGGACAAACATTTTGTCATATTTATAGCATCTGAATCTATTCAAATAAAATAAAATATCCGATTTCTTTAATTAACATAGACTAATTATCGTCGTTCGTCACATGGATACAAGAGTAAATAACTGAGAATAAACTCTATACATACCTTATCACATTTCCGTTCTTATTTCTAAAATGTTCTTTCCAACTACACGTGGTCGATGATAATTCACAATTGAATATACTGAAACAATTTATCCATAGAATAACTAATGCTAGACCGATAATATCAATTAAAATGAATATGCATAAGAATTTTTTGTATTTTCGTTTTCTTAAAATCATTTTAATTTCAAATAATCTATTTGTAACATTCATTTATTTCTTGTCTATGCGCACATGCTTAATAATTATTCACTAATCAGTCAGATCAGCTTATAGGTTAGTATGTACAATAAAAAAGAATACTGTTTTCATGTCCATCTATATTTTACCTTAAATTTCAAAATAAAGGTTTTTGAAGAAAAGTAGTTATTAAGAAAAAGCCACATCCATAAGAATACTATTGATTTTATGATCACATCACATGAAAGTTATCTTTTGAAAATCACAAGACTATCGAATTGTTGACATGGAAGTTACAGTATTATATTAGTTAGCCGCTTGATTTTCCTTCAGACAATCCATAAGTGTCGATTAAAGCTGAATGATCAAAAGCGATGTAGCATTGACCATCAGGTTTATTTTGTGTTGTTCTTTAATNAGCCAGTTTCGTTTAAAATCTGAGTGAAAAATGGTATAGTAGCGATACTTTATGACGGCAGGACCAGATACAATCGTGCAACAAACTAATAGTTCATCATAAGTTACAGTATTATATTAGTTAGCCGCTTGATTTTCCTTCAGACAATCCATAAGTGTCGATTAAAGCTGAATGATCAAAAGCGATGTAGCATTGACCATCAGGTTTATTTTGTGTTGTTCTTTAATGATAAAATTGTGTCAAAGAAAGATTAGTAACATTTGTCTAAATGACATGCATTCGCCCTACCGAACTACACTTTCATCATATGTGATAATACTTTTAGATCTGAATCACCAAGTTCGTTCAATCTCTAGTTTAAAAAATCATATCTGGTCGCTTCATCTTTTTGTTCGAAATTCTAATTAAAAAGATTCGTTCGATATCCTTATCTATCAGATGCATGATCTTTGACTACCCGAATACGTTATCCAGTACATGATCTCGTTTCTTGAAAACCGAACAGTATCCATCACCTTCGAACACCCACTACCACCTTTACACTGAAAAGCGGGATACTTCAAGTTTCTTCCGTTTCACCGCTCCTATACATCATTTACATCTGTTATTCAATTCAAGAATTCTGAACTCACACTGAATACGCATTGTTTGCAGATGATACAGCACTCTAAAAACTATCCAGCATCACATTGAATCTTACAAAAGATTTCCGGGAATCGGTTGATGTTTTCTACTATTGTTGTAACTTTTGAAAACTAACGACCCAACTGACAAAAATCGAACTCGTTCATTTCGCTCCTCATCTGCAAATAGTAGAAAACCAAAGTCCAGATTACAATCGGCGCAGTACTAATCACGCTTCAACCGTCTGGTCGCTATTTAGGTGTGATTTTTTTGTCACAAACGAGTTCATCTTCAATGTAACGAAACACAAACTCGAATCAGTATATTACGCTTTCAATCAACATCTGATAGTTGATCATTATGACGAATTTATATCAATCACTCGTTCGCCCATTGCTCTATTATAAGATTCCTGTAATCGTCTCGAGCGATGGGAAAATCTGAATTCAACTACATGTTAATCAAACCATACGAATTCGTGCAGTACTAATCGTATAGGTGTTCCTTACTATATTCTAAAATAAATTCATATATAAAATGCCAGCTGTTCAGCTAGAAACCAGAAAGATCGTTTCGGAGCTTTCATTCTAGTACGATCATGATGATATTTCTGCCACTCCATTAGCTAACTAAATAGCTAACACTGTATACATGTATAATATTATTTTAAAAATATTTTAAATGTTGTTAATGCTGGAATTGATGTTTAGATGTTAAGTATTCGTAGATTGATAAAACATTAGATTCTTATCAAAAAATCATCGTCACCATATATTCATACAACAACATAACTTCCAAAAATCAAAGAGTGCACATTGAGAAATACAAATAGTCTAAATTCGAGCACAAATATATTACAACACACCCTTTTTCAAAATCTCATCCTCATATTAGAAAATATTTGGTTTTTACTTTCTTTTTGGATAAAAGACGTTATTATACATACGTGATAAATATCACCGCAGAATTTTCAGTTTAAAAATAAAACGGATGTTTCCTCGAGGTATGCATCGGAATCGGTATAACCAATATCGAAAATACTGAACACATCAAAATTTTTCGTACAAGATGCTGTTCATGTACACAATAATCATAAATGGCTGTCATTAGAACCAGTGTACTCTTATTCATTTACTAGTATTCTTTAAGAAAAAAAATATAGTTTCTATACAGAAAAGATTGGATTATTATATCCCAAAACTATCCATATCAACATGAAGAAAAAAATAAAACAGAGTCGCAGAAAAATATTTTTTCATATTCAGCACTCTCAATAATCCAGAAAACTTTCTATTTTTGATCAGACATGTTTAGGAAAATTTTTTTAAACAATATGGAGAGAAGAAATTTCTGTAGGAAAATAATGTTAGTTTCAAAATATTTTCTAAACTCCTGACAATACATCTCGTCAAAAATAGAAAATCTTCTCGATTATCGAGTGTACTGAATACGAGAAAGCACTTTTCTGCGACTCTACATGAACTTTGTTTTTCTGTCGATGATATGTGTTAAATTATAAGAAGATAAAGGGTCGTTCTAATGTGCTGATATAAAAAAGTGCTTTTATTTTGTTTTGTTGTTATGTAATTAGAAATTGAGTCACTCTTCCTTCTTTGAACAGATGCTTGAGAAAGAAACGCAGGCATTTTGGATTCGGCGGGACACAAAAGAACAAAGCAGTAAGTTTCTTTTCAATTATTACAAACTACGTTTTTTAAACATCTTATTTTACGATACAGCTGCATATCTAGTCTTCTCAAAAAAGATTTACCTTTGAAATATTTTGCCTACAATATAGCTGCTTATTAAAACATAAATTGCAGTACACTATCTCATCTTTTAGACTTAAATCTAAAAATACAGCAGCAAAGATTAGACAGGATCGTACATAATCCAATCTTTTCTAATTCTTTCCTGAAATTCTCAAATTTTCGATCTTAGTCAAAATAGACGCTACGTATTATTGTAAAAACAACTAGGTCTACATTCTACGATTATGCGAAAACACTGTTGCTCATTCATCTTTGATCGTATAGACTAAGGGAAAAGACAATTCATATCTCCAACATCTGTAGACAAACGATCTAAAGCCTTTTTCTCAATATATGATTCATTTTACTTATAGTTAGTTCTGAAAATGAACGTATTCTAAAGAACTTGCCGTTTTTTTTCTGTAAGTTGATTACTAACCATGTGATACTACACAGTAGATGTTCCACAGTGTATATACTACAAATGATATTGTTTGAATAGATAATTAATCACTATTTATGCTATTACACTCCATATATTGTAAAGAATATAAAGATGATAAGGTAGCGAGGTTTGTAACAGTAGCACAAACATTTCTTATGTGATATAGAGAAATAATATCGTTTGAATATCTCCTCAAACTTCTGTGAATGGTCTATTTTCCCTGAATTACCGTTTGATTTTCCAGTTTTCATTCAGCATACATTTCTTACAAAGTTTTTTTTCTTTCTCGTTTTTGTTAATGATTATGTTGTTCTCAACTCTATGTTCTAACTCGTACAAGTATGAAATGGATTTTTTCTTACTTTTGTCACGTACTGTGTTACTTGTATGTTCAATATTTGAGAAACAAAATAAATGATTAAATATCCAAACAAGGATTTCTCTCTGTGAACTAACACATGTCACAGAGCTCACATAAAAAATTGCTTTGTTGATTTTATATTTATTACGTTAAAAACAAAAAGGTTACTTACATTGAATGGAACGACATCCTTCTGTAATAACCACATTCTTATCTTTTCCTTCTGCCTATAGCATGCAGTTTTTTGTGCTTTTGGATTCGGAATTATGTTTGTCAATAAGAAAGGCTCCAATAATTGTCGAGTTCAAGTTTTAATATATATACACAAGCTATAATAATGGATGATTGAAATATCAGTGATCAAACATATCTTGCATTTTTATGTGCTTTAGACTGACTTTGAAAAAAATACGACTGCTTTATTTTTTACTACGTATTCACCAAAACATGTCTAACTAGCAACATGTCGAACAAACAGTCAGCCAATCGTAAATTTTGAGCTCTTTTTTGTTTTTTTGTTATGCTACACTGTAATTCAGTTCGAATCCTAATGGATTGACTCATTTATCAACAATTTCGAGAAATTTGTATGTATATGAAAATGTAAGAGATATAATGATAGTTATTATTCTCTTTTTGTTATTTTTTTAGAGAAATATCGTTTGTAAAGAATTATGATCTAAATAGTTTTTTAAAAATTCGAATTTTATAATCAACAGTATTCAATGATTAAAATATATTTTATTTTACTAATCATTTTCAAATGTCATCATCATTACATGATACAAGACGATTAAAATGAAAATAGAAAATATTGAATGGATAATTTTACTACAATGTGATCATTTTACATATGTTTCACCATTTTTAACTACAATTAAACATGAAAATATTCAAATTGATTCATGTACTGAATCAATTCGTATTGGTGATAAAACATTTGCCGATTTAACAATAAATACATTACATTTTCGTTTATGTAATTTAACGGATTTAAATGATCAATTATTTTCAAAAATAAAATTATTAGAAAAATTTTCAATTGAAAATTCAAGAATTAAATTACAATTTCCGCAAACAATATTTAATGTTGATTCATTTCAAACATTAAAAAGTTTATCATTAAAAAATATTTATTATATGTATGATAGTATAAATAATAGAAAAAAAATAACTTTAGATTATTTATTAAAACAATTACCATTATTAATATGTTTAGAAGTACAAAATGTTGTATTGGATAATGATCAATTATTATCATCATCATCATCAAATCATTTAATTGGACAAAATTTAAAACATTTAAGTTTAACAAATACAAAGTTCAAACTTAATAGAAGATATTGATGAATTTCAATCTGAACATTTACCACAATTAAAAATATTACATTTAAATAATAATCCGATTAGAAATATTCATAAAAATGCATTTTGTTCATTAAATAAATTAGAACGTTTATATAATTATATTAATCCTTGTACTCCCAAGCCTATTTTAGACACAACAAATAGAATGCATTCATAAAATGTATTTCATACTTCGATTCATGAAAAAAAAAAAAATTTCATTTCATTTTCTTGTTTTTTGAGAACAATGTCTAAATAGACTCTGGTTGATAGTACAAGGGTTAAATATAAATTTATATCACCATTATTCAATTGTATTTTATTATATAAATCTACGTTACATTCAACAAATAAAACATGGTTGTACAATGAAATATGTTAAAACTCATCATCATCAACAACAACAATTTCAAAAATTAATCATGCCGATACCAATTGCACTATTAGAAAAAAATTAATATTATAATGGTGTACAAGATAAATGTGGTACACCATGTCAATATTCATTAAAAAATTAATAACAATGGTGGATAATCATCATCCATTACATTATACATATTCATCAAAAAAATCATTCTCAACATTTAACTCAACATAGAGAAAATATTGCGAGAAAATCTTATACAATAAGATTAAATTTAAAGAAGAATACATTAAATATTCTATCTATTGCTATCATTACTGTTCTATTCAATTAAGCATTTTTCATTGTTTGTTTCGGTTGTTTTCTTTTTTTTTCTTTTTTTTCTTTTTATCATATTGTTGACTTTTCTTCTTTTTCTTTTTATCATATTGTTGACTTTTCTTCTTTTTTTTTTGCTTTTTTTTTGTATACATACACGTACGTACATACAGAAGTAATTGTTTGCGTGCATGTGTTTCTCTCAGTGCTTTGTGTCTCAAACTCAAAAAACAAAATATATTCAACAATGAATTAAATTTTTTTTGAAAATTCAATAAAAATTTTAAACAATATTTTCTTTATTTTCTATTCTAAATTTCACGTTTTTTTTATCCATTTAAATCTTGATAAAATTTCAGTAAATGACGATTTTATTGTTGATAAATTTGTTTGAGCTAAAAATACTGAACATATCAACTAGTTCAATCAAATATATTCCTATTCGTATTTTTTCTCGTCGAAATATGTAAAAAGTTTCATATTTCGTTTGATAATCTACGAGTGAACGACATCAAATGTTCGTCATTTTTCAAATTTTAATATTTTCTTCATCTCTCATGTACCTTACTTTTAGATTAGTCTCTCGAATCTAAAAGATAATTTTTTGACGAAGAATTTTTATACGTGGTACTGTGAATACGTTATTTTTTTACCATGTATTCACTTTTCCCGTAGAACAAACATTGCCATGAGATGCAGATTAGTCGATAAATCTATGGTTCTATTCGTTTCTGAGATCGTTCAGACCTGCTTACTTGAAGAAATTAAAAATTGTTTTTTATCTTAGTTTAAGGAACCAAAATGTCTTTTAGCCAAAAATTTGACTTATATAGTTTTTTTTAGTGATACTCTTATGGAAAGTTTCTAGATGTAAAGAAATACATACAAAAACTAAAGCCATTGCTAAACTCTGATAAGTAGAGTTCAAGTTTGCTTGATTGTGCAAACGATAGTCCAGCGGTTTTCATCTACTCATTGAAAGTAATAATACATTATGGTGATCTACTTTTCCATAGACTAATGGAAAAATATGGCACTTTAAACTTTTTTTTTTCCGCTAATCAATATCCTCATACTGTCCTCTGCAAAACTACGACTCTCTACCATTTCTTTATCAAATGCTATTAAAAAAATAACAGAGTTTATTATTTTTGGAAATTTATAGTAGCGAAGTATCTAAATGGAAATATGCGAATAAGAATGGGACAGTTCTAGTTCTTATTAATATTACGGCCATTTCAACAGTAGAGTTTTTCATTTTGATTTGGATACGCTGGGCGTTAACACTAGGGTTTTGCACCCGGTGTATTTAAGGAAGATATTAGTTCATACTAGGAATCAGTAGTGGAAAAATGAAACTTACATTTAGGAGAGTTGAATAGTTTTGTTTACTTAATTTCTTTTAGTTAGCATATGCTCTTTAATGCTTGTTGAACACTAGTATTAACTAGAAGATCTCTCTGAACTCTATACTAAAATAGGCTAATAAAATATATTGAATACATATACACCATTCGAAATCTTAAAAAACTGTCGGTGCTATGTTCACTATGTGATGCTGCTTGCACTCATGCTTAATGGCACTCTCGATGAATAATAGAAAAAATTTCTGACGTTGTTGGACGATGATTTTTTTTGCACTTGATTGTAAAAAACTTTTTGCTGCTCAAATAAATGTAACTGGAAATTCTGTTACATATATTTGTAGTACTGACGAGGGAAGTACTCCAACTAATAAATGGCTTTTTGAACAAAAACTAGTGGACTATAGGTAGTCGACGATGCTGATTTCGAATATCACCATGACTGCTGCTAGGCCTTCAAAGACCAGTTTTCTAGAAAATCATTTTTCGAGAAACTGTAAAGAATAACCAAAAGCTTTCTTAATGAGGTGTAATTGTAGTCCATAAATTTCTGATTAAAACGAGGCATCTCCCAGCTCTACACGACCTTTCTTTGCAAAGTTATAGAGTTTACAAGAAAGCCCTAAATTCCTTTTTCTTTCTGTAGCTCTGAGGTGACAACGAACATTTAGGCCTTTTCTTGTAAATTCTGTAACTTTGCAAAGAAAGGTCGTGTAGAGCTGGGAGATGCCTCGTTTTAATCAGAAATTTATGGACTACAATTACGCCTCATTAAGAAAGCTTTGGTTATTCTTTACAGTTTCTCGAAAAATGATTTTCTAGAAAACTGGTCTTTGAAGGCCTAGCAGCAGTCATGGTGATATTCGAAATCAGCATCGTCGACTACCTATAGTCCACTGGTTGTCGTTCAAAAAGCCATTTATTAGTTGGAATACTTCCCTCGTGAATCTGCTAAACAGCTTGGAATATAATTTTTAAACAGAAGTTATATTTTCATGAAGAAATAAAGGAAGATCCGGATTTATGAAGGTTTTTTTTTATTGTCTGTTCTCGTCAACTTTTGGCGACATCTTTCAAAAATTTTCTAATACTTCAATTAAGACAAGCTAAATAAAATCTTTCTATATAGGTCGGAGTTCAGATTAAAATCTAGTAGAGTTTAGAGCTGAATTAGTTCAGATAGACATTTTAATAAAAACTACATAAAATTTAAATTTAAATTGCAACCAATTCATTTTAAAACTCATCGAAAAATCAACTACCGTCAAAACCAAAATATAATATCTATGACTATTCTTTGAATAATTTTTTATAGGAATGAGATAGAGACTTGCGGTTTTCACCAAGAGAGGAAATTTGTGCTTGTGGGCATGTTCCCATTAAGAAAGTAGAAGGGTTGCTTAAAATAGGTTTTCCAGGAGTTTCTTGAAAAACCCGTTTGTGTGTCCGAAACTTCCAGCAGGACTAAATTGATTTTTTTTCATGGATTGATAGCCCTGAGTGTTCTCTTCAAAACGGGATCCAAGCGAAATCTTGATTTCCAGTGGTTTGCGTATAATATCGTCATATCCTTGCAGTCCTAGAGCTGGATTTTAAAAGCTAACGAAATCACGTTTTTAGAAATAGGATTTTATAAACTGTATCTTGTAAAATTTGTTATAAATGGAATATAAAATAGACTAAATACTGTACATCACGAATTTTTGAACTCGTTTTCATGATTTTTGAGTGGCCATTGAGTTATTTAATTTTAGGCGAAAACATTTGAAAAACGTGGCTTTCGTTAGTTTCTAGAATCTTTTTCTAAAAACAAATATTGCCACAAGACTAACGAGGGAACCGCCCCAGGTTTTGATACCTGATTAAAATGAGGCGTCTCCCAACTCTACACGACCTTTCTTTGCAAAGTTATAGAATTAACAAGAAAAGTCCTAAATTAATTTCTTCTTATTTCTACAGCTTTGAGCTGACAATGAACATTTAGGGCTTTTCTTGTAAATTCTGTAACTTTGCAAAGAAAGGTCGTGTAGAGTTGGGAGACGCCTCATTTTAATCAGAAATGTGCGGGCTACAATTATGCCTCATTACGAAAGGTTTTGATTATTTTTTAGAATTTCTCAAAAACTGGTTTTGCAGAAAACTGAGACTTCAAGAGCCATGCCCAAAAATCCTTTTAGGCTTTTTACCAGCTCGATGTGCTCTATAAAACTAGGTATGAATGAAGGAAATCGGAGTTGGGCACCTGGGGCGGTTCCCTCGTAAGCATGTCTGATTACCTATAATCTGTTCGCTTCCGAGGTTACCAATAGTCGCAGGACCCCAAGCAAAACTAAGTAAGCGAGAAAATCTAGCTGCAGCGCCCACTTACAGCTAGATTAACTAGATTAAAAGGTACATTTATCTAGCTGCATGCTGGTTGAAATTGTGTACTAGCTGAAACGGCAACTACATGGGCCAATTAATCGAGCAATGAATTGCTCGATTAATCGATAGCAACTAGCTGTACCCAATTGAAACTAGTTTCAATCTAGCTGAAGCTAGATGAAATTTTCATGTATTTCTGTGCAGCTAGCTGAAGCTAGATAAATGTACCTTTTAATCTAGATGCAGCGCCCGCTTCATGATTTTTTTTCGTGCTTGGGACACTAGTTCTGAAGCTAAACTACTGTAGATCACTGATGCGCTTCAAAATGAACTAGTTCATTTTTAAAGTAAAATGATAAAGCGGTAGGAACACAAAATGGTATTAGAATTGTTTGAACCATAGCGTTTCCTTGACTTTACAACATCAAACTTTGCTCCATTACGTGCTCTTAATACAGATTTATTATCAATGGTGCCCTTTATATAAGCTTGTCAAATCTATACCAATTTTGAGTGGATAAAGACATGTAAATGTACTGGTCCTTCCAATATAAAACAGTATCCATGCAAGAAAAAGAATTATAATTTCTTGTTAAGCAAATCGTCATCGCTTTCCTTGGAAACCGTGTGCAATGAACTTCTTGAAAACACAGTACGGTTGGTTGCCCAATGAATGCATATTAATTTATTTAAAACAGTTAGGTTCTATGAAAACAAAAATAATAAATGGAAGCTACATATATATAAATATATATGTATCTATAATACACACAGTCTTAATAACTATTATAGGGATTTTGTTCAGAATCATCATGCGATTTATTTCTTTTTGACTGTCTATTATCGGGAAACCATGTTGAATTTTGTGATTGATGTTGTCCCGTATAACCGATCATTTTTCGTTTAAGTGAAGATGAATAATGATTTGTTTCATAATATGAGGTATTTTGCAATGATTGAGGAGAATGCTGTTGCGGATAAGACAAATGAGGCGATGAAGAAGCGGATGACTGATGATGATAATATGGATCGGATGATGTCACTATACTATTACTATGAGACCCATATCCTCTAAATGAAACAATAAATATTGAAATAAATTGAAAAATAAGATTATCTGCACATATATGCACACACACATACTTGTCAGTTGAATCGCGAAAACCTAAGACAAAGATAAATCTATTAAACTAGAATTGAAATAAGATATATTACTCATTTTTACCTTTGGCAAATGGATTATGATCGATTTTCAATTGTGTTATCTAAAATAGATAAAACTCATAATTAGTTATCGTATCCGCGATCTAGTAACAGTCTAAAACTACTGTTTTTAGTCTCTGTTTTTTTGAAAAGTACTTGATGACTACAACGACCGTTTCTGTGCAAAATTTTGTTGATGAGTCGCTGCTGTCTATGTTTGTTTTAAGCAAATCCTCTGTAAACTAGCGCCGCAGCATGACTGAATGATTTGCAAATAATTTCCATCCCGTTTTTCTTGACCATACAACTCTTTGAGATGAATCAATGTCGTGTATTTATCCAATACAAATCAATATTTACTTACATCCGTGTTTTGATATGCAGTTACAGCAATAAATTGTGTTTCCACAAAAAAGAATGTATGTTCTTGTCCAGTTTTAGTCTGTTGTTCTAACGTCGAACATCGGCTATTTCCAATATTTATTCGACTAACTTCAACGATATGTAAACGTGGTTGGTATTTGTGCATAGAATTTAAAATTAATGTCATCTAGAAATATCAACAAATAAATTCGATAATTACAGAATAATATAGATAACAGTTATAAACTCACATTTGTATTATGTCCAGGTGGTATTGATCGATTATTCGTTAATTTTAATTTACTAAATGATATTTCATTTTTCATCCAATGTTGACCTGTATTTGGACTATCAGGATGAATATAAATACGATCTGTTAATTAAATAAAAAACCTCATTAAACTTAATATTAATCATCACGAGAAAATAAAATAATCAAATAGAAATTTTTTTATTTTGTTTAATGTTTACTTGATTTTTGACATTGGTCAGCTTGTCCACATGATACCCATTTTCCCAAATTAAATTTCCAATGATTTGTATCAACCAATACCATATCAACATACAGATTATAAGTCGAATCTGGATTTAAGCCAAATACATGAAATTGTAGAGTGGGAAACATTCGACTAAAAATAACAGATCAATTAGAATTCTTCAAGAACGATGAACATTAGTCACAATAAATATTTTGAGTATATTTTTTATTGGATAAATTATAGAAACATCTGGCAACATTCGCTGTCTTATATCAATCCATGGACTCAAGTGAACTTTTATTTAATTCTATCGTCTTACATACCGTCCTTGTTTTGTGATAATCATTTCTGTTGTATGTTGATGAAATTTTGTCCACAAATCTCCGTGTTGCAAACGCACAGCAATATGTCCTGAAGTTGCAATAATATTACCATCCTAAACAAATAAAGCAGATGAAATCTATTAGTAATATTTCTATTGTTGGTTATCTTATGCACAGAGTTTGCTCACTGTGATATTCCAGTGTTTCAAATTGTATTACAGAGTATGCTAGTGAACTGTAATAAATTTTGGTGAAGAGCATTGTAAAAGAAGTATAATTTCTCTCAATATGTTAATTTACTAGTAGATAATTATTTATGAATATAGCTGGATAACAGAACAAGAATTAGGTACGCGATATTGTAAAATTAATAATAATGAAGAAAAATAAATTTAAAAAAAATGCCTAATAAATGTTTTCACGGAAACATTACCTTCTATTGATAGAATGTACTGATTAATGTAGAGAATGTATACGATTATTCGTACATCTAAGACAAGTACTATCTCTTAACTAAATTAAACAAATATTTATAAAAGTATGAATTCAATAGCTTACATAATTTTGATGTAGTGGTCGCGATGGTGATGATATTGAATGATTACTGTTGGTCATATAGTACTGATAGGCATCATAATTCGTTGTTTGTTCATCCTGTGAATGTTGCATGGAAATATAATCATAACAGGGTACTTGTCGTTGTTGTATCATTGCTGGTGGCATGGCTAATGGTGAGCGTACTTTTGGTGTTGATGCGGCATAATTTGTTGTTGATAGAATTTGTTTTTGATCATCGGGTGTGTTGCTATTAAACGATGAACGATAACGAATACGTTTTGCTATATTATCACAGATTGGTGATGGTGATGATGTATAATACGAAGACGATGAATTTGATGGGTATATATAATCATTTAAGATTGGTGTTGAATAGGTTTGATGTGAATGATAATTGTTATTATCATCATTGTTTGTACAAGGATATTGTGGATAATAGTTTAAATTTATTGTTGTTGTTGTTGGAGGATATGAGCCATCTTCTGAATTTATTTCGCCTGCTATCGATGTTTCAGCTGGAGTTAACATCTTTATTTTAGTTTGAAACTAGCTCTTTCGTAGCATTTCACACTTGTAATGACAGGTGCTAATATATTTGATGTATGATAGTACTAACAATAATGAAAACGAGAACAGTAATATACTTTTTCTTCTTTTTCTGTCATAAAAATGTAATAATCGATATTTGCCGTTTTCTTTTCTTTTCTTTATAGTTGCATAGATGCAACCAATGAGAAAGAATAAGAAAAAATATCATTGACCAATGGAAAGAAGAAAGAAGAAGAATACCGCTTTTTAGTTAATTATTTAATATGAAGAACAAACGTTTTGATGTTCAGTTAGTAAATTTGTTCGTCACTAATAATATTTTGTAATGAATTTTCACATCAACTTCGTTCTGTTCTATCATAATAGTTATCAACAATAGTTCTGTTCTATCACAACCACACACACATTTACGACTTTGACATGGGCTTTCTAATTTAATACCCAATGGTGAGTGCCAGATATGCGCGCAATCAGATAAATTATGTTTCGAAGTTTATACACAAGTTGAATTAACCCTCGTAAAAATTTTTGAACGGGTTTTTTATTTGAATTCTAAAAAAGTATTGATTTTCTCCTCCTATCTCTAATAGCCCGTCATTGATTGCTGGAGATAGCGGAGATAATTAGAATAAGTAGTGGCGTAGAAGATGTGTTCTTCACAATTTGTAGTTTAACATGCCTTATCAATCTAAAACGGTCGATATAACAGATTCAAACGTGTTTAATGCATCAATGTTATATATTTTTTTCTCCAATACTGAACTTCCTGAAAATGTTGAAAATAAATTACTGGGAACCAAACAAGAAGTCAGTAAACAAAGATGACTGCCTATTGAATCACAAAAGAAATCAATTAGCCGTTTTGCTTTGCTGTCAAATTGTAAACAGTTTGATTAAAAATTATACAAAAGTTTTGCCAGATAATCTTCTCTTGTCTATTTCACGTTACAAGCTATTCCTGTTGCCTGAAAAAATTGCCACATTATTCCTAAAATATAGTCAAAGTTAACACGCTGACTGGTCTATAACTCCGTTTATTCTTTAAAATGATTTTGCTCATTGAACTAATAGAAAATCGTGTACGAAATATGTTTGAACGCATGTATCTTAAAATATATTTATTTCTCAAAAAAAAAGGTGTTTAAAAAACGAAAATTCAGTCAAACATGCAACTAATTAACGTCGGAAATATACCTGAGCACTCAGTAAACATTCGTTAATGAAGTCACCAAAAATAATTGTTTGGGTGTCTTTATAAAAGATGAAACCTCTTGAAAAAATCTCCTTATTTAGAGATCTTGGTTTGGTTATTGAACGAATCAATGGCTTTCTCTCGGAGTGAACCGCATTATTATATCCATAATCATAGATCGTAATAGTCAAACTGGAGGATCAATGATGACAACTGTCAATGCACAACTTCGTTTTACTAGTTTAGATTCTTTCTCATCTAACGTTATGATGCTGCCGTAGTGAGATAAAAGCACATAAAGTTCAAAATATAAACAACCAATCAGAGATGAAAGTATGGTATGTGTATAATATGATACACATCAATAACTATAAATCTGATATTACTTTTTTCGTCTGTTGACAATAATTTTCTTGTACTTATTCAATTATATAACATTATTTCTTTAACGTGATTTTATATATGATAGAGACTAATTGTAGATAAAACGAAACATCAAGACATATTCAAGGACGGTGCCATAAACGTACCATTCATATTATTTTAAAAAGCTGATAATGGAGAAGGAGAAAAAAAAATGTTGTTCACAAGTGACACTGAGGCGGCATGCTGGGTTGATTTAACTGTCATTTGTAGAAAATGAAAATGATCGGATTTATTAAGGAAACTGAATTCATCGTTGTTGTAACAGTTCACTTTTTTTTTAATAACACATCACACCTTAAATGTTTCTGATATAATTATCGCTAGCTATATATATACATAAATGTACTTCAACTATATTTTTAGCTGTGTGGACTCTATGGTATAGAATTGAATGTATGATATACGTAACAAAATATTTGATTCTTCTATTGTATAAAAATAGAATATGTGGAGAGAGGGAAAGTATGAAATGATCTCCTGTTGAATGTGCAACGATGTCAAATTAAATCAGAATTATTTTGCACTCGTTTACTATTGTGTTGTAGAGAGAAACGAGTGATCAATGCTGTTTCATGTCTATCGAGAGTATTTATTGGTTCGGAAAGTACGACTAAATGATTATCGTTCTATTATGTAACATATCTTGATGTCTGTTTCTCTTATTCACTTTGAAAAAAAAGTCAATAATCATCCACGATTAATCAAGAGTGGACATACACAGATTAGTTCCTAGTCATCAGTAATGAATATTGACATTGAATGAGAGAATGATTATCAGCGGTCTGCTTTTGAATGGCGCGCCAGCAGTGATTTAGGTGTATAACTTATATATTCTAGGTCACGTTGGCAATCCTGTTTGGTTCAGTTAGTCATAGTTAAATAAGATTTTTAGTTCTGCTTACCTAGATTCCATGCAATTTGAGAAAAAACATTATAATTTGAAAATGCTTTTAGATTAATCCATCTTCCACTAATTGATTGAGTAAATCATGCAGATTTATGGTAGAAGTTAAGTCATTTAGACACTATATGTAATTGTTGAAAACTTGTTGATCATTTAAGCAAGAAGAGATTAATTATTTCGTATAAAGAAAATCATAATCAACTCTTGTTAAATTGTAAGAGAAAAGAGCATTTTCCTCATGTTGTATCATCAAAGTACTGATGTCCGTTAAACACTACTTTAAAGTGTTAATAATGAAAATCAGATATCAAAAACTTTCATGAAAGGAATGTGGTAGGGCATAATCATTCGTGTTGAAAAACAGACCAAGACGAGTGATTTCATCCTGTTTTCGCTTTACAACGGACAATAAAGCGTATGAATGAAATAGAAGTGTCTGATAATTGTCATCAGCGAATATTAGATCGCATAGTGCATGCAAATCAGAGCTGTGTTCTCGCTCAAAAAAAGATTATCCATTTTAAATGTCGAATAAATATCCTGTTTAGAAACATGGAAATGGAGTTTCTCACCACTTCTAACTGTTGTGCAAGGTTATCAGAAGTGACAAAATATCAATTAAAGCACAGTTAGAAAACAAAGAAATATAATTATAAACTGGTAGTCTTCGTATAGATATCAAATGTTTCAATATGTTAAGAAAATTATTTCTCTAAATGATTGTACACGTGTGCATTTCTCAGTTGGAGTTGAATGAATTCAATTAAATCAAAACACCATTTGGTTAGACCAACTAAATCGATAAACTTCCTTATTTATCTCCCAAAAAGCATAGGTAACACCTTTATACCGATTTAAAAACGTACATGTTTCGAAACCATTATGTAGATGTAGATGATGTTCCTAAATCACAATCCAGGTATTTTAATCGACACAGTAATTTCATAATTTATCTAACTAGTCACATATGTCAATAATAAAATATATATCAGATAGATTTTTTTTCTTTCTTTTCATCATGATACTTTAAATCATGAAATATTCGTTTACTTATTCAAACACAAGAGAATTTAAATAAATTTCAGAAATAAATTTAGCTATGCTCGAAAATCTCTCGAGATATACACCAATTTTAAAATGTCATTTATTACATATATCACACTCTCGTTCTCATTCTTTTATATATTTTTTTCTTTTCCATTGTCTGCTTATTATCACTTGAAAAATGTGATAATAAAATAATGTTTTTATGTTCAAATTTTTTACTTCAAACGATATGCTCAAAATAAGAGCAATACTCCGTCATTTTTCATCTCGTGCAACGATTCTTCCTTTCATTAAAATTCTACAATCTCAAAAACGTTAAATATTGAATGTACTTGCGTATGATTACTCACGATGATAATTTGACGTATATTTTCTTTCAGCGATTGAGTGAGATCACAAGAGAAACTATGCTTGCCATTAGTGTGATGTGTTAACAGAAAAAAAACTCAATACCATATGTATCCAGGAAAATACTTTATGAAACACAATTTGTTTTTTTTGAACAACAACAAATTGTGAACACAAACAGATGTTCTCAGATCGTTAATCACGTATTCTAGAAACAACTGATAAACTTCGTAAAAACCTTTTTGACACTTTTTCATCACCAAGTAGCTTCTAAAAATATACCACCGATTTTATTAAAAAGTAAATAAAATAAATTGGAGGCGATGAACAGACAGATTAATAACGAGCTATTCATCAATGGCATGATATCCGTAACGTTGAAACTGAAAATTTACCAGAATATAAAACGATTGATATGAGTATTGGATCCATTTCATTTGGTTTACTCTCGATTCGTCCCTAATTGCTCTTTCTCGATTCGTCCCACAAATTTTTTTCTCAGTTCGTCCCATTTTTAAATACTTATTCTACATAAGTTCCCTTATATTTAACTTAACTTTCAGAAATGGAAACAAAAAAATATTATTAATATATTGTCTTTATTCCACATGAATTTTTACGGCCCTTCCATATTTTATGGCTAATTGTGGATTTGTTAACTCCCCTTTTTCATGAGCATCAAGTAAACTTTTCAATTTTTCATCAATTTCATTGTAAATTTTTTACGTTTGCGAGTTTGGACTTCAGATTCTTCTCTGTGATGGTGCTGAAAGACATGTTCTTAACGTAATAGATCAATAAATTCACAAATGTGTGGATGAACAGGAAATACACTTTCTAAACGTTTATTATACCTCTCTATGTGGTTGTTGGTTCTCGGTAGATCATTTATTATCGCATCATTCTACTGTCTGCTTTAGACACGCTTTCATACATATTTTTATTTTTTTAAGCTGACCACGAAACTGTTGTTATTTTGAAGAACACAAAGAGAACTTATTTAAAAAATGGGACGAATTGAGAAAAAGTTGAGACGAATTGAGAGGACACGATTTCATTTCTACCACAGTCAAAACAAATCCCTCTGTTATCTCTGACTTCTTTCAACATAAAATGTCGTTTTTGTTCTTATACATGAATATTGTTCAAAACCATCTCTTCTCAAGGATAAAAGACAGATTTTTGGGAGAGGTCGTCTAACTAAAAATGTTGTCAATATGTTAAATAAAGATCGTTTGTCGCTATTTGATTATGTCTTGATTTTCCAGTAAATGCATGTATGATTTTCAAAAATTTCACATAATGTGTTGACGTAAAATGATTTTGATTTGTTTTTATGTTTTCTAAATGTTTCTTTATTCTCTCACTACAAGGGACGGTGTGTGTCCAGTAGAACTATGATAATAATTTTTTTTTTAATTATTTAAAGGTGCAGAAATATAGCAGTAAACTACTACCACTGCCAGGAAAAGACTAATATCTGAATATGTTATTTTAACAAGACTACTAAAAAACTTGTTAAACGCTCATCGGAAATCACTTTAAGGATGAAAAACGATACATATCCTGAAAGTACACACTCTAGGGTACTCAGCTGACTGCTTATCTCAAAACTGATATTTTTGAGCAAAATTCTGTGTCAAAGGAGTAGAGGACTTTAGCGTAGCTTTTCTTGCTTAACACAAATTCAAAGTTAATATGCGTGTAATATTCAATGAGAAGATAGCGTTTTGCTGAGATGTCTAGAAAACATTCTCAGGAACGAATCATCTGGGTAAAGTCAACACTTGCAATCTCAGAAAATTTGGGAACATGAAATGTTAAGAAGAGTCCACAAAATGTCAATAGAAGAAAATTCTATCAGCTAAAGTACACAAATGAAAATGAATAAGAAAACTCATCTTTGATGCACATCCTATTAGGTAGACAACCTTTTTAAGCCAATCCTTTTTAAGCCTATCCACATCAAAAAATGACTGAATGCAAGTCACCGACGAGACTGATAAATATATCTAGCCAATGACACATTCAGTTATTTTCCGATGTGGCAACAATCCTATTGGCTTGTTGTACCATTAGAATTATGTAGCTGTCCGGTTGGTATGAAAGTATAATCGTGTAAACATTCTGTTGGATTAGCAATTTTATTTAACTTGTATCAAGTTAGCGATAAAACACGCATTCAACCATTAGGCAAACGAAAGACAAACGGGCGTCCCAAGAAAGTTAGCACAGCTTTAAATTTCTAAGTAGATATAAATAAAACTATAGAAATATTGTTCATCTGGTTAATATTCTAATGAATATGTTTGTGTTGTACATTATACTTTGTTGAGCAATAAAAATACGAGATTCATGCTGAAAAATTTGGTGATCAAAAATACATTTACTCGTAAAAATTTCAGTTCTCTATTTGTCCCATATAGAGAACTGGCTATAGAAATTGAGTTCTCCATAATATGAAGAACGCGAAATGAGTTCTCTAGTGGGGACAAATGAAAACTCAGATTCACATTGTTCTACAAGTTCTCCAAAAACCAGAGAAGTTAGTGCTTGAGTCCGAAAAGCGCACAAAATTGATGCTTTTCTGGTAGTTTAACTTTTAGAATCCTAGAATGGATTTATATCCGCTTGTACTCTGGAATGAATAAAGCTTAAAATCAGTTTTTTTCTGCTGGCTGTGTAGTGGCTTGAATAAATACAGTCCAAAACCGTTGATAGTAGCGACATCTCAGCCTTAATAGATAGGCTTAAAAAGGTTGTCTACCTAATAGGATGTGCATCAAAGATGAGTTTTCTTATTCATTTTCATTTGTGTACTTTAGCTGATAGAATTTTCTTCTATTGACATTTTGTGGACTCTTCTTAACATTTCATGTTCCCAAATTTTCTGAGATTGCAAGTGTTGACTTTACCCAGATGATTCGTTCCTGAGAATGTTTTCTAGACATCTCAGCAAAACGCTATCTTCTCATTGAATATTACACGCATATTAACTTTGAATTTGTGTTAAGCAAGAAAAGCTACGCTAAAGTCCTCTACTCCTTTGACACAGAATTTTGCTCAAAAATATCAGTTTTGAGATAAGCAGTCAGCTGAGTACCCTAGAGTGTGTACTTTCAGAATATGTATCGTTTTTCATCCTTAAACAAGAAAGATAATTATTTTATTCTGCAGAAACAATTTGATACTGGTAATTCCTTTCCAGTCAAGGGATAAGTGAATCAGAATGATGAGCGCGTTTCTAAAGATCTCCTAAAAATCCTTCTTGGAAAGTCGATATGAAAATCGCCTTTCTCATGAAAAGATGGTCCCAAGTTTCCTGTTTCGACTGGTGAAAACCGCAAGTCTGCATCTATCTTTGTTCAAAAGTTATTCCAAACGTTTGTGTTGATCCCATGTTCTGCTACGCTCAAACTGGTGAGGTTTTGAACTCGATGCCACGGGATAGCCGTGAAAGAAAAAAAAATTTATGTATATTAAACAAAACGCCCATTGTTACTGATTAACGTGTGTTGACCCTCTATATATACGATATATACAGGTAGAAGAATCAATGTACAGATCAGACTAGTTTATTATCATAGAGAGCGATATGTGCGTATTAATACAAATCTGCACTTGTTTAATCAAATTCAATGTAAAAAAGTGTGTTTCTATAAACAATCGAGTGAGCTCACAACCTGGCATTAGCCGATTATGCGGATTTTTACTTCGAACACACCTCATTGAAAGTGACCGTTACGTACACAAGCCGTCTAGTTCTAAGCGAACTATAAGCTGTATACGTTGAGCAGCGAGGGTAGAACACACTATAGCAATGCACAGGATGGGAATGAGAACACATCAGAGTTTATTTTTGGACAATTTAGTTCAAAAAAAATTCTTTGCATTTGAATCAAAGTTCAAGTGTTCGATTCTGTCAACTGTGTAGTGTTCTTTTGTGCTTTGCTTCTTTCTGTTCTATCCTTATCTCTCTCAATCAACGATAGGTGCCATGCCACTTTGAACTTTACAATTTGTAATTGTATTCGCGCACCTTTGCTGGCTTTCGGCTTCCTTTCCTTCGATAGATATAATGACGAGAAAAAAATCGATTCAACACTTATTGAGTTATACGTGATTCGATGAAACTCGATTCCAAATATGACCTCGATCTTTTAACTGTTGCATAACTAAATGAGTCTACATCTCCCTTTCATTTTAAATTTTATTAGATTCATTAAGAAAAGAATTTTGTCGCATGCTTCTGTGTTATGAGGTTCACGTTTGACTTTGTGGTTTTCCACAATTCTTAGCACTAGGAACCAAACCTTTTTAACTGTTTAATAAATGAAGCATCAACGTTCGTTTGAACAGAAACGAATTGAATTCTGTTTGTTATTCTGTTTCAGGCGTAATGAGACGTTATCTAGTATGGCCAGCGGGAATGATATTTCCAAGTATCCTTCTCAAGTGTGCCACATTTCGAATGTTGCATGAAAAGAAGAATGATGACGATTTTCAGCTTTCAACGTGGAAAATGGGACGATTTCGATTTTTCTTCATTGTATTTATTGTTCAGTTTGTTTACTACCCGATACCGGGCTATTTCATGCCCATACTAACATCATTTTCAGTAATATGTTTTATGAATCAGATTAATATTGTACTTGACCAGTTAACCGGATTCTACGGTCTGAGTATTGGAGCGCTGCAGTTGTGACAATCGGTAACGGCATTTTTACAATCATCAATTCTGTATCCGTGGTGGGCTCTATTTAACATTCTTATTGGTTTCATTGGTATATACTGGATAATTGTTCCGATACTGTACTATACGTATACGAATGCAAAAAATTTACCTATGTTTTCGAGCAATTCATATGCTACACATGGTAGTCGATACAACTATTCGTTAATCACAAATGACAACAGGCATCTAAACCAAACAGATTATGAGCAGTACGGTGATCCAGTGTTGACACCAACATTCTCAGTAACTTTTTGTATCCAGTTTGCAGTTATAACAGCAATTATTGTTCATACCGTCTTGTATCATGGTAAGTTTATCTTGAAGCAATTCAATATATCAGCTGATGAAGCAACAAATGATGTCCACGGTGCATGAATGGCAAAACTGTGAAAAGAAGTCCCCGAGTATTGGTAAAGTACAAGATCAAAGAATACAGAAAACACACAGAAGGATAGGACCCTACTACTAGTTGATCCTACTCTGAAAATAAAAAGGCAGAACAGAAAACTATGAAACAGTTCAGATATATATAAGAATAAGAACTAAGAAAGAATCATCTGGAAAAATGACGCAAACTATTGTATAAATGAAGAAGAGTAAAGAATGCTTATCCACTTCAGCGAAGAAAAAAGCATATTTTCTGTTTTTTAGGTGCTGATACTCTGGTGTATCTAGCCACACTTCCACCGTATGTTAAATTATCTAGAAGCGAATTTGTTGCCGAAAGAAATATTCTCAAATGGAAATGTTAGAGATACTTTTCCTGTTCATTCTGTATGTGTGGTAATCTCAGTTTATTTACTGTCGGCTTTTTTTCGTGCTTTTTAAGCAAATAATTTGTGGCATGCTTTATTACAAATAAGCATATGTGCTTTCTCATTAAATTCAAGGAAATGATAAATTCTTTTTCCTACGAATAATGTTTCCACAAAAGCACCCGTATGTACACTTTGAGAAGAGTTCTACTATTACGCTTATTGATCATACCAGGAAACAAAATAAAGTACACTGATTTCCTGCGAATGCGCATTTCGACAAACATATTCACAGTCATCTGAAGATTTTATTAATACAAGTATTCATTCAATTTTTTCTTTTATACTGAAGCAAAAGATGTTTTCCTATATATACATTAACTTTATTATTCTTGATGTCAAGGAAAAAAACATGACAGTAAGTACATGTTTTTTAACTTATTGTACATACCAATGACGACAGTGCTTTTGATTTGAGACTACTAAAACCTGCAATCGGTATATTTTTTTCTGTACTCGATGAATCATTGCGTTGATCTAAAGCTTGCTGTTTAACAAACACGGCATTAGAATTTATTATTGGTTCAATGTCTGGTGCTTCAACATTTAACTTGGCAAACGGAGCATCGGGACAAATTTCTGTCAGTTTTGTAAACAACTGATTTGGATCAAAGAATACTTGTAAATCTTGAATACGCAAATCTTCAATGACACGAGCGATACACATACCAAATATATTCACCATTTTATTCGTGGGATATGCTTTGTAAATAAGACCGGAGAGGCCATGACACGAAAAGTAGTCTGTTATAGGGCGAAAATGGTTCCATTTAAATGAGACAATGGGCGGTCCCGAATACAATTCTAACAATTTCCATCCAAAGCCTTCACCAAGTGCTCGTTTGAATTCCACGTGTGACTCTTCAAATGAGATAGCTGCACTATTGTAATATGTTGTTTCACCAATTAATGCATTATACGTGCCTTGTTTCAACATTTCATAGCATAGGAATACTTCTGACCACCATTACACGAGAATGAATAGTTGGGCAAATCAACTGTGCGTCATTGTTTCGGATCGACCTTATGTGAGACGTCTTTCTCCCAATCTTTGACGATATTTTCCAGGCATAACCATTCATTGTGGACTGTCATAAGTGTTTGTACTGGCTATTTAGCAAATATTATTCGAGCAAATCTCTTTTTTACTTAAGCTTTTATGTTTGGATCAGCATCCTCACTACCTTCTGTTCAATAAACACAGCAATTTATTGCACGTAATATAAATACACTGTGTAACGCATGGGAGATAAAAAGGAATTTTTCCTTACCGCGTTAAAAACTTGGACTGATGGGCAGTTTTGAACGCTTTATCTAATGAAATAATAAAAACTCGTTTTAATTCTTGACTATGTTACGGATACTTTGAGTGATGCTTGATATACGGATGAATCTTTCCTTAAAATGTGGGATGCGTAATTGTTTATGTCGTTTTTTTCTGAACAACACGAAGATGCGGAAAGGAAGAAACGACATCATCTCTTAGGGAACATGACAGATGAAACAAAGCACAAGGCTGACAGGTCAGGACGGAAAATACTTTCGAAAGATCCCAAAAATTATCGTTCGCTAGTACGGGAATCATTAGCAATCCTTCACCATCAACCAGCTTTAAATAAAACTCTATGCTGCGTCCCGTTGGTTGTAGCCCAGAAGAGCTGCACGGCACAGCTAGATAACTCTGCTATCGGATTAAAATTCCGTGGCAAAATTTTGACGTTTTTCTGTGTCTATATTTTTTAACGAAAGCACATGCAGTGCTCTGGATAGTCTAGAAAGCAAACGTTTCTCGACAAAATGAGACGTCTCGGAGCTCTGTATGTTTCTTTGTGTAAATAACAAACGGTAAATACTTTCCAAAATGAAGCTTCAGAAGGGTATTTTGTATTTTTCTGTTATTTTCTAATAATTACAATTCTAGACTGTTCACAGCACTGCAAGTGCTTGCGTTAAAGTAATATAAACACAGGAAAATGTCAAAATTTAAATGTTAAAATTGTGTTGCGTTTAAATGTTAAAATGTTAAAATTTAATATTAAAGATACTTCAAAATCATCTCATTGGTAACAAACAAAAAAGAATACAAGCATAAAGAAAAATTTCTTCTCTCTTTCGGGACCGTACCCGATTTTTATTTTCCTCGTATGAGCTCTTTATATAAGCATCGACTTTTGTTCTCTCATTCAAATTGTGCAAAAGACAAGAAACAAAACGAAAAGAAATTTTAAAAATGAATCATCCTCTTTATTTCTTAGCCGGTAGTTTTGTTGAAGGACAAGGTTATGCTAAACAATTTGCACCAAATTTAGATAAATTACAAGATGTGGATTTAATGCATGTGGTTGGGGAAATTGATTCCAATAATGAATTGATACCAATCGATGCAAATGTTCCTGGTTATATTTATGTTCGGTGGAATGGAGCAAAACTAGCATCATTACCTTACACATTTAACGATAAACAGCAATGTCGTTTAATTAATGGTTTTGTTATGAAACAAGTACATGTCAATTCAT